GTGGGAATCACTCAAGATGAAATCGTATTAATTACGCAGAGCTTATTGAGACTAGAAGAAATCTAGATGAATTCTTCTTCATGCGCTGCCATTTTGGATTTATGATCATAACACTGAATTTTGTATTTTTAGCACAGTATTTATAGAAACAAATCGGACAAATGAATTTTGATCTAAAAGTGTGTCTGTAGACAATTTTTGAACTTATTAGAATTTCCTAAAAATTTCAACCAATAAAAGAAATTTTTTCTTGAGATATCAAATTTACAAAGAAATTAGATTTTCCATCCTTTTAGTAGAATATAATGATTTTTTTGTGGATTTTATATCTCGAAATGCCATCATTCTTTCGGCTGAACTTTTAAAGAGATTCTAATGACTCAAAGAGCTATCTATGGATAGAGTTTAGACCGAAATTCGTTTGTGCAGTTTGGTTTATAAATACCACGCCAAAAGTGCAAAAGTCTAGTGGAACTGTCACGGCTCCAACAGGTAACGCATGAGAAAGAATTCTTCTAGTGCACAATAGATCCTACATAATGACTAGGATCTCATTTCAAAGGTGAGTTACTACCTAGGGTAGTTTCCTAGTCAGAGTTTGAACAAAATCTTATTTACTACTGTATCAGAATCTAATGAGAGAGCTGTTTTAACTGATCAATCACTTTTGCAACGAAAGCTACTAATCTCTAGGTTATCGAACATACTGATGCAGAATAGGAACATTAGAAATAATATTCTACGATCTTCATATGTTGGTGTTCCAGTCTAAATATATATTCGTCTGAGTTTTCTTTTAATCTCTGTAGATCATGGAGCATATCGCATTGTCCTGAAATTAAACACTTTTTCTATTTCAAATCGTCTTTTTTTTTGTTTTTGGAGAAAATACATTTGTTATAATTCATGCAACAGATACATATATAAAACAACAATTATTGTAAAAATCCTTAAGATGATATTATTTTACTGAGAACTCATTATTAATAAAATAGAAAAGGTCATTGTCTTGTAAACTACTCGACATGCTCTATAATTTGAGTAGATTTAAAACGAATCTGGCAAAGTGTTTGCGATTCTGAAAAATCGATTTGCGAAAAACAACAGTAATATGAAAATCTAAGATGATTTTGTCTTGCTCCTGTTCGGCATCAGCATAATTGATAATCTATCATCCAGCGATTTTTACTGAGAAAGTCATTGACCAATTAAAAACGTTCTCTCGTAAGTCTTTACAAGTGTAAACTATAGAACAATTGCTTTCATTTGAGATCAAACAGTGTCATATTGATTGCAAAAAAAACGAGAAGAAAACTCTTTTCAAAAGTAGTAATATAAAGTCGATTATGTTTATGTGTTCTTTTTGTATTTTAGAAGCAGGTATGTTTTGAAAAACTTTATTGCAAAAACTTTACATCTACTTTTTCAAAAAGAATATGCAACGGAATTGAGAAAACCATGTATTCCATGTTTAATGCAACCACGATTTCGACCATACGGATGGGTAAAGATATTAGGAAATCAAATATCTACATTTATATTTTCATTTTTTTCAAATTTAGCTGGGAATTATTAAAGGAGCGAAAATTCATGTTGATTTTGCAACATTATCGTGAGTGAAAAGTTGATCTTTTTTAAACTATTAAAAAAATATTTAATTTAGTTTTGAAGAAGCATTTGCATTATTAATTCGTGAAATAGAAACAATAAGACGAAATATTATGACGAAAAATAATCATAATATTACACAAGATACAACTAACCAACCTCTTTATCATCAACATAGTATTGGTTTTACTTCTATTGATAACAAAAATGTTGATAATGGTATGTGCTTTATGTCTATCTAAAAATTGTATTTATTCAAGTTTATTCTAAAAAGTCAAACTATCAGAACTGAATAGTACATCTCCGATTGGGAAAGAAAACAATGCTGTTATGGATTGGGATGTACCTGCGGTTAAACAATGGTTAGAACATGTTGGATTATTGCAGTATGTGTATTAAATAAATATAGCAGAAAATAATAGATGTCTTTTTCTTGTTTAGTTTAGAAAATGCTTTGATAGATGTTGATGGAAAATTACTCTGTCGATTACATACAATGAAACAGTTAGCTGCAAATTCATATTATAAATTTCTTGATAAGTATTTCGATCGCATTCAAACAGCACGAATGAGTGACATACTCAAGTTTGATCATGAACTTGAATATCTTTTTCAATAGCATCGAATTAAATAATCTATTTTTGTATTAAATTCAATATTTTTCTTTCATGCGCATATCAACTGTTCTTTTTTTTTTTACAAATATATTTGATGCTCAAAAAAAAAATTTTCAAATCAAATCAAATAAACTATTAATTATTGATATTTAATAAACAAAAAAATCATTACAATTTTTCATTTTTAAAATGTTTTGAGTGAATTGATACCGACAAATCAAACTTCTAGTAAAGTTTTCTTTATTTATCTCTTTTTTATGCCTAATTTCATAGAGCGTGAAGTATTGATGCCGAAAAACTATTGTTTGATTCAAATAAAAGACATGTTACTATTATTTGAATAATTTCCGATAGAAACAAGATAGAGACCTGTGATTTTCATCACTCAAAAGATCAGCCTTTTGGTAACAATTCTTTACTAGATTTCAGTTGTTAATAAGACATATAGATATCAGATATTACTTCGACTTTTCTATATCCATGCCGTTTTTACAATTTATATGGTAAAATACATTAAGAATGAGGCTAAACATCGCTATATATAATTTTAACTGACTAAAAAAAATATATTTCTGATGCAATCAAAGAATACAGTATTCGAGTAGAGAAGATACATTGTGACAAAGTTGACATTTTACGAGAAACGTGCTATTGTGTAAATAAGAAATTTTCACATTGGAAAGTGGTGTTACGATGTGTATATTGCTCGGTAAATCCATCACTCCTGAAAATCATATCCCATGTCGTCGATAACGATTAAATAGCGGCGTTATAACGCCGCTATTGCGATCGCACTGTGACCCCTTTTAGGGATCCGCCGCGCTGTTATTGGGCGCTATAACGGCAATATGAACCGATATTGCGCGATATAGCAGCAACACGAACCGATATTGCACGCTATGACGCTACATCTTTCACTATTTTGGTACTTCTATACACCTGCATTCTGCTGGTTCATATTTAAAGGTTTGTTTCCAAATAAGTTCCATGATTTTCTTTCAAATTTTATTTGAATATGTAAAAAAATACATTCAATAAATATTAACAACAAAAAGAACGAATTCTTATACAAAAAAAAATTATTCGTGTACACAAACAATTTATACGTTGTGCTTGATAAACCTGATTTTTGTCACCGCCACTCTCCTCTTCGCAAGAAAAACTTTACAAAGCCATTCACTAAATATTTGTTCTAATTGATCATTAGTAAGTTTAAACTTAAAACGAACAGCTTCTAAAAATAAAGAATTACGATTTTAACATGAGAACTGAATTATTACCTTTTATCAATTTATATCAATTATCATTATAAGTATCAGCTGGTTGTAATGCAACCAGCTCTTCCTTAGTGTACATCAACTGGATGAATGTTGTTACATAAAGATTTGCTTTATCTTTTGCCCCAGGAAATTTTGAGTAAATCGACATCAGGTTCATTTTCAGATGATTTAAAAATCTAGATATAGAAAATAGAAGTGAGAATATAATCGAAGATCATACTCACTAAAGATGAAGAGAAACTTATACAATGATTGTCAACACTAGCTGGTTCTTCAAGGAAAATGAGTACCTAAATTAAGTAAGATATGTCACAGTTCGCATGAGATTTTAAGTTACGATTACAATGCGCGAAATAATGAAAAAAGAAAAGAATAAAAAAAATACAAAAATGTTTTTTGCTTGCTAAAGCTTTGATAACGAGTGGAAAATTTTTCATTTAAATGATTCTTCATGAATACAATTATATGAAATACATTTAAAAATATATATATTAATTAATTAATTATTTTTTTATTTATTAATAAAAAACTAATGAAAGAGTTTTTAAAATATTTTTAACGCTGGTTTTTGTTCGCGTGAGTCATATTATGATTAAACTTCACTATTAAAGAGATAGCGGAAAAAAATTTTCTTAATAAACATTAAGAAATCACTCAATGTCACCATATTCCCAGCATTTAAAAGATACAGAGAAACTTTATATTGATCGCAGAAAAAAAACGAAATACTTGATCATTATAAAAGAAACAAATGTATTTTCAATCAAAAGTAACTCTTTATTGAATTTTATCATATCGCATCAGTTAGAAAAAATAGAGAAGATTTATATTCGCTGTAGAAACAAAGAATAAAAACAGTGTCATTATATAACAAAAACCAATCTATTTTTTAATTGAGTTTAACCAATCTTTCAATGTTCCCATGCCTCCATCGTTAAAAACAATATACAGAGAATTTAAACTTTTTGTAGAAAAACAAACAAAATAGTCACTGGAATAACAGTGCTTGTAGTTTCATATGTTCATTGTGTTTCTTATAATAAAATTATAAAAATACTACTCCAATCTCAAGTAGCTTGTAAACTCAACTGTCACATCAATAAAACTTTCATTATAGTAATTGATCCATGCTTTGAGCAACAGTTTTTAGAGTTTGTTTAAGAAGGAAATTTTTGTAATATGATAATTCTCTTTTGTTTAAAGCCTTTTGAATCTACATTTGATTCTTATATAAAGACTTCATCGTCATTTCTACTCTCTCTTAACCAATCAATAATGGTATAAAGCTTCTTTTTTCACAGACTGAAAACAACTGTCGTTATCCATCGATCTATTAATTCTAGTATCGATCGTAACAGCTTTTAATTAATCGACAACCATTAAACTTAGATGGTTTAATTGGTTCAATTGATCGAATAAAATTGTCTTCATCGGATTCCGTATTAGATGATGACATATCGTCATCGCGTTGTACTTTTTTAGATTTTTTTCCCTTTCATGGTGATGAAAATGAGTCAATAACTGGTGGTTTACGTACATTGATATTCGAAATAGAATTTAATGTTGGTGTTCCTTGTGCCAGCATTAAATCACTAGCAATTATTGATGAAGATAACGATATAGATTTTGGATCAGTACAAGAAATAGAGGCGATTGTTGTTGCTTAGCATCGTATATAATAAATAATAAAATAAAAACAGAATGTATGTACATGCTGTATTTGTTGCATTTGTATCGTCATTACTTGTCGGATAACATTCATTACAAGTTCGTTGCCCACCTATAATGTCAAGAATGAATAATCATCTTCCTTACGAAAATGAAACAAAACTTTAGCTATCTTGCTTCTATCACCACCCTTCACTCGAATCAAAGTTACAATATTGTTTATATCTACAAAATTCAAAAGTAAATTGAAACATTGGGTTTCAAAGATTTAGAAATCGGCATGACTGTTCATTTTCTGTTTTATCTTGGGTTGATCAATAAAAAAATGAACCAAAGGCGATAATTCCTTTTAGGTCACTTACTTGAATTAGGCAACGTATGTCGAGATGACCAGTCATTAAGATTGCTTGTAGGAACATCAATTGAAAATGGTGCGTTCTTGAGAGAATTAAATTTTTTTTTCTAAAACAAAACAAATTAATATGCATATAAAGAAAAAAACTAAATATACTAGGCACATTCGAACGGGAGTCCGGAATTTCGGTCCAAGAATTTTTCGTCCCAAACTTTTCGGCCCGGTCCAAAATTCCGGTGATTTTTCGGTCCGGACCGAAAATCCGAAAGAAATCTCGGTCCAGTTCTTAATTTAATTTAATTAATTAATTATTAATTAGTAAACTTCATAGTGCTGAGCACCATGACTTTTCAAAAATTCATTTTGCTGAGCAGTATGGCATTGTGCTGGGCAGTATGAATATTCAATAAATCATCTTGCTAAACAGTATGGCATAGTGCTGAGCAATATGCCGTAGTGCTGAGCAGTATGATATACCACTTAGCAAGATGATTTATTGAATATTCATACTGCTCAGCACTATGCCATACCGCTCAGCAGAATGATTTTTTGAAAAGTCATGGTGCTCAGCACTATGAAGTTTACTAATTAATAATTAATTAATTAAATTTATTTAAGAACTGGACCAAGATTCCTATCGGACTTTCGGTCTGGACCGAAAAATCACCGGAATTTTGGACCGGGCCGAAAAGTTTGGGACGAAAAATTCTTGGGCCGAAATTCATGTAACCCCATTCGAACTGGTATCTTTTGATGATATAGTTTATTTTCCTCATTTATAATCACTCTGTCTTCATGT